CCCCACATGCACTCGCTGCCCAGGGCCCCAGGCAGTCCGTGCTGATTTCCTAGGACCCCCCATATGGCCTGACAGGGACAGCAAGTCTCCTCCAGTGGACTAGGCCCTGGCACCCATTCCGGTCCCACTCCCTCCGCCAGAGACCCCTGGATCCCCCCACGAGTGATGTTGAGCCAGCCACGCCCATCCAGCCATGCTCACCTGGCCACCCAAGGGCAACCACAATGCTAATGCGGCCCTCAATGAAATCGAGTTTGCCCCCCGCCTTAGAATGACACATAGTCTCAACATTTTGTCTCCAATACATTCTCTTTGCTATATAGGGTTTTCAGGTCTTTTTAAAACGATACTTGATTTGGAATGAATAGAAATTTAGCTGAATAGGAATTCATTTGATGTGTGTGTGTGTGTGTGTAGGCGCATGCACACAGCATTGTGAAGCATGTTAGAAGCAAGCAAGTTGTAGATCTTCATTCTCCTTCAGGCTGTCACTTTTGTCCTAGGACTGCCCAAAATTGTCTTGATTTATTTCTCACATTCATTACCCTTTTGGAGCAGGAGAAAGTTCAGTAAGCAGCAACATTAAGGTTGACATTTCAAAACTCCTGTTACCAAGCTAAAGAGCATTTTCCCTTTGAAACAAATGTTGCTTCTTACTAATAAGGGAACAGCAATTCATTACCTTGGAGATTTGTTTGGGGGAAGTGCTGGGAGAGGAATGGAAAATTAACCATCCCATGCGTTTACACAGCTGAATGTATGCAGTGTACCAGAGGCTGTATTGTAGATAAAAAAGCAAGAATAGGCATGCTAAGTAAACAGAAGAGCATAGTGGACACATATGTTGTGTGCAAACAATATTCTGTCTACTTCAATGGATTCAATGAACAATAGAGCCATATATAATTCTGGTATGACTGGGCAGACTCTTAGCTACAATGCTTCAAAGCAGAGGTTGCTGTACTTAGACCTGCAGCTCAGCAAACAGCTATTTAGAAGGGCTTGTTGAAAGCTGTTGTGCTGTCCCACATGTCTTTCTAAGAGCCCATTAAAAAATGGGTGGCTGTTTACCAGGGAGATTTTGCTGCTCTGCAGGGGAATACCTAGGAGCTGGTTGGCAAGCAGCAAGGGAGCTTAGTTTTAAATTGTGAAAGGATAGCTGGAGGGACGAGGATTACTGTTCTGTTCAGGATCTGGAAGGAAAGGGGATGTGTAGTATTATTGAGCCAAAACTAGCCTCCCTCTTCTTTAAAAGTTTAGATCCTTGTTTTTAGGAGACATAAAAGGGAATTCTTTAAAGTTATGGTTTGAAACATTCCCATTTTTATGTGAATATGTGTCCTGCTGTTTATGCCTCCACATGAATTAGTATTTGGAGGTAAAGGATATACATGTCAATATAAAAGAGGGGAGGGGAAATGACATTGCCATAGGTGTATACTATAGGCCACCCAACCAAACAGAGGAAATAGATGAACTTTTTGCTGGTCATCTAACTAAGGTATGTAGGAAGCACATCACAATAGTAATGGGGGACTTTAACTACCTTGACATCAACTGGGAGACAATTCTGCACCAAGTGGAAGATCAAACAGATTCCTGACAAACCTAACAGACAACTTTGTCTCCCCAAAAGTAGAGAAGGGAACTAGGGGATTAGCCATTTCGGATCTAATTCTCACTAACAGAGATGAAATGATAGAAGGTGTTGAAGCCATAGGAACCTTGGGAGGAAGTGATCATGCAATATTGGAATTCAACATTATGGAAACACAAGCAATAGAACACAGTCAAACTAGAATCTTGGACTTCAAGAGAGATAATTTCAATAAACTTAGGGCTTGGGAAGAATTCCATGGATGAGAATCCTCCAGGGAAAAACAACTCAAGAACAACTTGAGAAATTTTGAAAAGTGAGATAATAAAAGTCCAGTCTAGCACAATACCAACAAAGAAGAAAAATAACAGCTCTCAAAAGAAACCAGCATGGCTGCATAAAGAACTCTCTGATAAATTGAAAGATAAAAAGGACAAATATTGAAAGTGGAAAGAGGGACACATAACTAAGAATATCAGCAAATAGCCTGAGCCTGAGCCTGCAAAGACGAAGTGAGGAAAGCTAAGGCTCAAAATGAACTAAGGCTTGCAACCAAAGTCAAAAATAACAAAAAAAGCTTCTTTCAACATGTTAAAAAACAAGAAAAAAGTGAAGGAAATGATTGGTCCATTAGTGGGTGAAAGTGGCAAGAAGGTGACAAGCAACAGGGAGAAAACAGAACTATTTAACCCATTTTTCGCATCTGTCTTTGCATAAAGGAAAAAAAACAGACCAACCTACCAAAATAGTGCCATAAAAAACAGAATAGAAAGACAAGTTAAGATAGGTAAGAAAATGGTAAGTGAGCACCTGTCCACTCTAGACGAGTTCAAATCGCCAGGAGCAGATGGATTACAACCAAGGTTCTCAAGGAACTGGCAGATGTGATCTCAGAACCACTGAACTATATTTTTCAAAGATCCTGGAGCATTGGGGAACTACCAGAGGACTGGAAAAGAGCTGATGTAGTTCCCATCTTCAAAAAAGGAAAAAAAATGGATCCAGGAAATTACAGACCTATCAGCCTGACCTCAATACCTGGGAAGATTCTGGAAAAGATAATCAAGCAACAAATCAGCAAACACCTAGAGGCAAACAAAGTCATTACTAAAAGCCAACATGGGTTTGTCAAAAACAGATCATGCCAAACAAATTTTATTGCATTCTTTGACCAAGTGACAAAATTAGTGGACCAGAGGAATGCTGTGGATATAATTTACTTGGACTTCAGTAAGGCATTTGACAAAGTAGATCACAACCTACTACTTGATAAGATAGAAAGATGTGAGTTAGACAGCATCACAACCAGATGGATTCGTAGCTGGCTGACTGGCTGTACTTAGCATGTGGTCCTCAATGGAACCACATTTACATGAAGGGAAGTGTGTAGCGGGGTGCCCCAGAGCTGTGTTCTGGGCCCAGTGCTCTTCAGATCAACGATTTGGACAAGGGGAATAGATGGGGAACTCATCAAATTTGCAGACGACACCAAGCTGGCAGGAATAGCCAACACTCCAGAAGACAGGCTTAGGATACAGGAGGATCTGGACAGACTTGAACACTGGGCACTATCTAACAGAATGAAATTCAGTGGTAAAAAAAGTAAGGTTCTACATTTAGGCAAGGAAAACCAAATGTACAGGTATAGTACCTCACTCAATAGTAGTAACTGTGAGAGGGATCTCAGAGTCCTAGTGGACAATCATTTAAATATGAGCCAGCAGTGTGCTGCAGCTGCCAAAAAAGCTAACACAGTGCTAGGCTGCATTAACGGGGATAGAATCAAGATCACGTGAAGTATTAATACCACTTTACAATGCCTTGGTAAGGCCACACTTGGAATACTGCATCCAGTATTGGCCACCACGATGTAAAAAAGATGTTGAGACTCTAGAAAGAGTACAGAGAAGAGCAACAAAGATGATTAGGGGACTGGAGGCTAAAACATACAAGGAACGGTTGCTGGAATTGGGTATGTCTAGTTTAATGAAGAGAAGGACGAGGGGGGACATAATAACAGTGTTGCAATATCTCAGGGGCTGCCACAAAGAAGAGGGAGTCAAGCTATTTTCCAAAGCGCCTGAAGGCAGGACAAGAAGTAACGGATGGAAACTAATCAAGGAGAGAAGCAACCTAGAACTAAGGAGAAACTTCCTGACAGAACAATTAACCAATGGAACAACCTGCCTCCAGAAGCGGTGAATGCTCTAACGGTGAAAGTTTTTAAGAAGAGACTGACAGCCATTTGTCCAAAATGGTGTAGGGTTACCTGCCTGAGCAGGGGGTTGGACTTGATGACCTCCAAGGTCCCTTCCAACTTTATTATTAATTATTATTATTATTATTATTATTATCATCATCATCATCATCATCATCATTATCATCATCTAGGCAGAGTCTCCTGTGTGATGCTTTCCCTGCCCCATCCCTTCTTGTGGGCTGAGATATCTTTTTTCTTACCATTATCTAGGCTGCAGCTCTTCCTCTTTCTTTGTCTCAAGATGATTCTCATAGCCTGTTACAATATATTTGGGTAGTTGGTATGGTAATAATTCTGCGAGTTACTAACTTCACTTATTTACAAAGTTATGGGAAGTATTTGTGACATTCCAAAAGTAAGCTGTTTCTCCAATCTTTTCTGCCTGAAACTCCTGACTCACTAGAGCTGTTGAAATTGAAATGTTGTTACAGAAAGCCCATTAAACCAGTGATTCTCAACCTTTCTAATGCCGTGACCCCATAATACAGGTCCCCATGTTGTGGTGACCCCCAAGTGGGTGTGGCCACCAATAAGAGGGAGTAGGACAGCTAGGGAAAAGGGAAAAAAATGGCGGACAGCATGGTTTGGCGACCCCCATGAAATGGTCATTCGACCCCAAATGGGGTCCCGACCCACAGGTTGAGAACCACTGCATTAAACTGTTGGAAGTATTCCTTGTGGACTATATAGTTCTATTAACAGTATGCTTAAACATAGATATGAACATAGAAAGTCAGAAAATATATGAACTACAGAAGATCATGAAATAAATAATAAAAAACTAATAAAAACCATAATATAAGAGAGCCAGTTTGAGCTAGTGGTTAAGGGACAAGGCTAGAAACTGGGAGACCATAGGACCATAGCCATGAAAACCAGCTGTGTGATCTTGGGTACGTTGCTTTCTCTTAGCCCAACTCACCCCACAAGAAGCTGTTGTGGGGCAAGTAGGAGGAGGAATTCGTATTAGGTATGTTCGCCACCTTGAGTTATTTATAAAAATAATAATAAACATGGAATATAAAATAAAGAAATAATTCACATGTCAGGAATTTGAAATGAGTTGCTATACTGGAGGGGGTCAGATTGTAAATGGTTGCCCTCCTTCGTGTCTTATCTAGCCTTACTGCCTTATGGACTTACCAGTCGTATTCAATACAGTTATTCTGTTCTTTTTCATATTAGGATGTGATTGCGGTTGTTTTTAATACTACTTCCTTTTTCTCCCTTTAGGCTCTAATTCTTCATCAGCTTGGCCGGTACAGCTTGGCCGAGAAGATCCTTCGGGATGCTGTCCAGGTGAACTCAACAGCCCATGAGGTCTGGAATGGCCTCGGGGTGGTCCTGCAAGCTCAGGGTAATGATGATGCAGCCACGGAATGTTTCCTGACAGCACTGGAGCTTGAAGCCAGTAGCCCTGTTGTTCCTTTCACCATCATCCCTCGAATCCTTTGAAAAGCAGACTGCTCATCCTGCTTCAGCTGAACTTGAGAATGTGAGGACGCCTATGAGCTAATCTTTCCTTCTGACTCCAAGGGGCAGCTCTTCACCCTGAGAGGTAACAAATACAACTGCAGGCAATCTGCTCATTTCTGTCGGGTGTCCAACACGCGGAAACAAATATAGGATCTTAATCAGTGAAGAAAAATTGAAAAAGAGAAGGAAATAAATACACATGCACACTTTAAGCCACCATGTACGTATTGTCTACATTTTTTGCCACATAGTCATTTTGAAACCTGATGCTTATTGTTCAAATGGATATTGTGCCATATTTTGTTAGGTGACATCAGAGTGTTATGTAAAAACTCTAAATAGAATCAGTAATAGATAATAGATTCTAGTTAAAATTCAGTGGCAGAGCAAGCCTATTTTTAACCAAGCCTGTCAAAGACCTGTTCTCTTCATGGCTTTCAACCTCTCTGGAGCTCAGAATCAAAATGTGAAATTTGCTGTGTTCCATCTTCTACGGTAGTCCAGCCCAGCAAATCAGCTGAAAGGTTATGTTTTGAGTTGTTAATAGCTGTGATGTGTAGCTAATTGTTATTTCTTGTATTTAGAAGAAAGGTTGTGTACAAGAATATTTATATTTTACCAGCGTATGCCTGTTGAAAAAAAAAAGAAATGAAAATATTAGTTATTTAAGTTTAACTTTTGTATGTGAATCCAGAGTTTATTTATCAATGGAAATATGTAAAAAAGATGCTACAAATAGAATATTTACTGACATTCCTTATGAAGTATACACTACCTTGGCTCAGTGGAAAGATTATGTTAATAATAAAATGATTTTTGAATGCATACAATGCTTGTTATTTTTATTTGATAGCTGGATGAAAATAATTAGAACTGACTCATGGCCTGGCCAAATTACATGCATCTCAGTTGAACTACTATTGTGCTTAAGTGTATTAAACAATAATACATTGTATATTTATTCATTAATGCTAATTGATTGATTAAATCTTTAAAGGCAAATATCTTTGATAAAACTCCTAAAGCAGCTGCATTTGGTTCAGTCATGGAATCCTGAAAAAAGATTCATATTTCAATGAATAATATTAATGTATGCCAAAGCCACATCTTTGAATCATTTTATATGCACATAACTATAATATATACAGCATTCTAATTTTATATTCTTACTATTAATTAGGTGTTTATCAATTTACTAACTATATTTATTATTACTATATAATGTGTATGTATACATAGTGTACATTTCTCACATTTTGGGGAGATATTTTGTATCAGCAATATTAGTTGGAGTTCTCTCACTGCCTGAAAAGTATATATTTGTTTGTTTGTATTTATATCCTGCTAGAATCCAGATCTTCCTTTATCAGTTAAGGCTGCCATTGGCATATCAGCCAAAGCTAACTTCAGCTTCCTCCTACTCATAGAACAGGAGCCATGAATGCAGAAGGTCTCCCTAAGCATGAACCTGCTGCTTTACATGCAGGCTGTGCAGACTAACACTCCATTGATCAACAACCATGAATAAATAGCAACTCCATATTGCTTAAGTCAGTTTTCAGCCTGTTCTCTCACATTGAGACTTTACAGCCTGCAGGCACCAGGATAAGACTTCAACACACAGCCCCTGTAGTCCAGAGTGGTGATATACATCTGGATATCATCAGATATTAATGATAACTGCACTTCAAACTGTAGAAACAGGGGAGGGGGGGATAGAGCTTAATGGCAACCTAAAGTCATAAGTCACTGGTCCAGACTTCCCCCTTTAAAAAGACTGAATTTTTCCCTCTTTAAGAAGAGCAGAACTCTATTGTAAAAAAGTGTTCCCAATTCCTAACCTTTGCAAATAGCCCAGTAAGATACATGGCCAATCATATCAAAAGCTGTCAAGAGATCCAAAAAGTCAGTAGAATGCATACCCTCTCCAGGTCCTGACACAGGTAATCCATTCAGAGGACTAAAACCATCTCATCTTATATATGGGCCTGATTCGCTGATCAAAAAGGGTCAAGATAATCCACTTCTAGAATGTTCCGTAGGTGGTTGACCACTGAAAGATCAAAAACGTCCCCCCCCCCAAAAAAAAAGGTTAGATGCCAGCTAATATTTATATAAGCCCCCTCAGATCTAGGCATGACCTCTTCGAAAAAGAGGTCATGAACCACAACTTTCAAAATTTTAGGCAAACTCCTATAGCAAAGCATTGACAGATTTGAATGGATTCCTTGAGCCAGCTGCTATGCCATTATTAGCAATACAAGCATGTAGACATATTTTAGTATTGCCTAGCACAGGGGTAGGCAACCTTGGCTCTTTTATGACTCGTGGACTTCAACTCCCAGAATTCCTGAGCCAGCCAAGCTGGCTCAAAAATTCTGGGAGTTGAAGTCCACGAGTCATAAAAGAGCCAAGGTTGCCTACCCCTGGCCTAGCACAATCCTATGCATTATTATTTTTTTTTGTTAAAAAGACCATTATGTTCAGTGACCAATACTTCCAGACAGAGAATTGCAACCAAAAAAGCCACTTGAAAGATTATAATCTTTCACCTCTGATTTAATACAATTCCTTCCTAAAATGCAGGTTAGATATTTGATTTTCATTTGATAATGAAATCCATCATTAAATCAGACTTTCCTTGGTACGAACATACTGGTTCAATCTGTCAGAGTACTCTAAATAAATGACTACCCAGTTCTTGATTATGCTTTCTTTCTACTTCCCTATGCAAATACTCATTTAGCTCTTTTCTTTGATTAATGCCAATTCTCTCATTAGTCCGACTAATGTAGTGTAAAAAAAGCTGCACAATTCAGGCATAGCATTGTAAATCTGCTCTTATTAGCAACAGTTCCCAAGAATACTGCAGGTGTCTCCCACAAACAGGATGCCAACACTTGAACAGAATCCAAGTTGTGTTGAATCACAGGTGTTCTCATTGAGACGCATCCAGTATTTTCCTGTTTTCCACTTGAAATCAACAAGAACAAGATTTCACTGATCATTAATTACATTTTTAAAATCATTTTTGAAAATGTGCAGATCTGCAGAGTAGCACCATATTGCTACTTCTAGGATACATGGTACTTTGCAAAAGCTTTTGAAGATGATATAGTGCTCTTTCAAGCAAAATAATGGCCATTCTGTTTGAAAGGGAGAGAAGCAACCCCTATTAACATATAGGTAGTCTTCACTTAGCAACCAGCATTGGGACCAGCAACTCTGTTGTTAAGATCATGATCGCTAAGCAAAAAATCACATGATCATGGCACACAATGTCACTTCCCATTTGGTTGTTAAGTGATTCAGTATGGTTTGTTAAGCATCACATGACTGCGATTGCACTGCTGAATTCTTCACTGACTGCTTTTTAGAAGCCAGCTGTGAAGGTGGCAAATGGCAATCACATGACCAAATCTCAATCATGCCATGTCTTCTATTATGTCGTGAACTGTTTTATGATCATTTTTATGTTATAAAGTGTTTTATAAAATTTGCCAAATTTCAATTCCATGGGTGTCATGAGTCCCAGATTTTAGACAGATTCAGTAAGTTAGTCCATTTACGATACTTGGTTGGACAACAGTTGCCCTATGGTTTAATGTTTTGCCCAACGGGGAAAAGATACTGGAAAAAGAGTTTTAATAGTATACTGTACAGGGGTGTTTTTAAAAAAAAGAAGAAGAGGAAGAAACTTCCTCCTTTATCCACAGCAAGTATATGCAATATTAACAACTAATCACTGTCTATTAAGAGATAACAAATATATCTTCATTCCATACTTCATATTTTATAGACCCATCTAAACAGTTTTAATTTTGAAAGAACCCTGACAGAGTTCACCATATCGATAGTAATCATTTGATACCTCTGACTATCAAGGCAGTGTTAGAATGATTTGTTGCTAGTCATTACTTCCAAGATTTATTCCTGGTAGAAGAAGCCCTACAGCAGAACTTTCTCTTAAATCTGCCAAAGTTATTTTGAGTAGACTAAATATCTTTGTTATACTCTTACTAACAATGGCTTTTACAATTCCTTTTCCCTCAAGCAATTTTTTAAAAATTATTTTAATCGGTATTGTACTGTGATATGTTTTTTTCACAGCCTTTCAATATTTATTGAAATAAATATTCTTCTAATCTCCCCAAAATGTAAAGTTCTCTGAGCAGATTGCAAAAGTACTTTAAACAAAAGGTTTATTAAAAACAACCTTTAAAAATAATAAATTTTAAAACACAATCACTTAATAGCACAGGAAATATTTTGAAGCATGATGCACTTTTATGAACAACTTCCGAGTAAAACTTGATGGTGATAGTGCTATTTATTGTTGTTCCTTTCCTAATATTACCCCATTGGAGAAAGAGGGAAGAAATGGTTCTTGCTGCCATATAGAAAGAAGTTTCTCCACACTCTCACAGTGAAAATCTCAAAAGTCAAGCAAAAGGATCAGCAGGCTACCAGTTTAATAAATCCAAGCTACTTTCACCCATAGGCGAAATATTTCTAAGCCTTGAATTGGTATGTAAATCCATTGGGCATAACTGTCATTGTTTCTTTCCCTGTTTGTCTGCTTCATGTCATTGCTTCATTATGGATAAAGGTGTCATCATCCATAAAGAGTCTCTTGGGCTTTGAGAAAGACTGAACAATCTATATTCATGAGTCTAGGGAGAAAGAAGAACTGCCTGCTCAGATCTATCAGGGCTAAATGGAGATTTCCTAAAGAAGCCTTAGGAATTAGAGAAAATAAGTAAAGTAGTAAGAAAGAAGAGAA